TTTTTTTTTTTTTACAGATTAATTTAATTAGCTCATTCTTTGTATATACAAACATCTTTTCGGTACTTACTAAATTCCTGGCAGATGGGTAAGACAGTTTACATGGAAATAATCTGCTGTAAGTAGCCATAACAGTGTGAGTGATGTTATAGTAGAGGTTGGAATTAAGAGCGCTGGAAACCATGAAGAGAGCTAAACCCTCCTTGGAGCAAGTCATGGGTGGAGTAGGAAGCTTCTGTCCGCATTGCAACAGGACAAGCTCAAAGAATAGGTTTTCTTTAGAATGGCAACCAGTGAGGAATCTTTGCTCAGTAAAAGGTGTTTTAACTCTTCAGAGAAAGAGTTAAGAGTGATATGGGAGAGTAGGCTGCCTCTGAGAAACCTGAAAAGAGGAGCTGTGGCTTGCAAAGAAGGCAATAATTACTTGAGCCCCCCTGGGTGGCACTAAATCAGGTCAATTTATTATACCTTTAGGGAGATGAGAGACTGATTTATTGTATTTTATTCTTGTTTTTCATAATCCGTGTTTTTGGAGACTCTGGAGCCAAATTGTTTGGTTTGATCCCAGATGTGAGAATGTAGGCAAGTTACACTTGTTTCCTTATTTATCAAATGAAGATGAAGGTGGTATCTACCTCTAAGATTGTTTTGATGATTGAATGACTACACCTAAAGATTTTAGAATGGTGCCAGCTAGGCACATAATGTGAGCTAAAATTTTGTTAGTTTTTTTTTTTTTGAATTGGTGAATATGCTGTTTGTTAGTAAAGAGCTCAAATTATATTAAGAATGCATTTTAAGATTGTAGGGAAGTGCAACCTACTAAAATGCAAAAACAGAGTAGTTGACACATTCTCTATTAGGTGGGCTTCAATTAGAAATGGGTAAGTCAGAAAAGTTTAGACATTTAAAGAAGGCAATTTCTCAAGTCTAGAAGAATTTATTATGTAGACAGCACCAAAGACGATAGATAAATTAGGTTTTACTCTGTTTTAAGGAAAAATGAGAAACAAAGATGCCTTTAATTTAACTTTAAATACCGTCCAAAATATATAATTTAGTAGGAATATATTAGGTTTTCTTGGAAAGTCAATGTAAAGATAGTGTTGCTGTCACTGATTCTTAGC